TTCCACATTGCAGATGAACCTCCTGCCACTACACCTATTGCCACAACACCAACGCTCACTATTCACTTCGTCTGTGCACTCACTGATTCAAGTAATTATAGAGTTGTAGTGGGTATTCTATGGTATTGAGCTCTTATTCTCTCAAATATAGCATTTGCAGCTAAAAAACTAGCACAATTTATGCACCGCCCAATCACTAATCATTAAAAATATAGCTAGATTGCTACTACATTTTGTATGCATCACCATCGATCATAGTCTAGTTTTTCAAGTGACTCAACACCTCGGCTTCATGGATTATTTGATATTAATTGGGAGAATCACATCATTCATTTTAGTGGAAACCTAATATCAAAGTGTCAAAAAAACAAAGTATTATGGCCCGATCCTCCATCATGGTTGAATATCATTCTCTTGCCAACACTATTGTTGAGTTTCACTGGGTATGTTTTCTACTCATTGAGCATGACATTCTCTTTCCTCAATGCCCGATGATTCATTGTGACAATGTTTATGCTACTCATCTTTGTGTGACTCTTATCTTTCACTTTCAGATAAAATATGTGACAATAGATTAGCATTCAATTTGAGAACAAGTTCAAATTGGTGCCCTTCGTGTCACCCATATATGGTGTGAGGATAAACTAGTAGATGCTCTCACCAAACCGTGCTCAAAATCTCTATGAGTATCAAGGTTGAACCTTTGACCATAGCTTCATCATGAGGGGCATATAAAAGAATAACGCATTCATTATATTATTTGGTTAGTTTCCTTTTCTCAAAATTGTCTTCAGTTAAACTTAGCTTGATTTGTGACATTTTCTTTTTGTATTACACCTAACATTGTCTCTTTTATTATGTCACTTTGAATCAATTGAAAAAAAGGTATGCATTCTTCCCATATCCAATGGATTTTATCTTTCAACTGTCACGAAAGAAAATTTACCAGTACTAGAAAAGAGCGGGTTCTATGTTCCAGAAATAAAAGCCAAGGGACTGGAAAGCTACCATTTTGACTCTCGGATCGATTGAGTGGAGAAAAGTGCGCGGAGATTCTATGAACTGACCAATGGGACTGGAAGTGGCGCCTGATATAAGCCTTAGAATCCGCTCCAGGGAAAAACTCCGAGGAACCCACGCAGTCCAACTGGGAGCCTCCCCATCGCCATCTTTCATCACCGGAGAAAAGCATCTCGCCAGAGCCCTTCTCCTTCGTTGAGCCACAAGCGTCCAAGTGTTCGTCGGTACAATCAGAAGAAGCCTAGGATTCGAACAATTCGACGAATGCCCTAGAAAATTTTTCAGAGTACTGATGGGAGGAGATGTAGTTGCTGGGCAGCGGGAAGAAAGCAGTGGAAGGGATGCGTGTAATATCGCAGTCATCGGCGGGAAGCGTGCGAATTGTCCCCGAAAATTAAGTGCAAGTACTATTTAGTATTAGTGTGATTTTGGGTATGTTTGTGTAAGGCTGTCTTGAATAAGTTAGTTACCTATTTATTTTTATAATTTGAAAACAGTGTTATAGTTTTATCTAGATAAATGTTATTTTGGCATATGTATGGTAATCTGGTTTGAAACAGAATTGTCGTGTCAATATATTTTAAATTTTAAAAGCAAAAATTTAATGCATAACATTACAAAAAAAATACGCATATTACTTATCAGTGATTATTATGATTTCTAAAACTATAAAAAAGACTATTAAAATAATATTTAATAATATAATAATATTATTATATCATGAGCTAAGTCGTCATCCAAAGATACTCTTCATGTCAGATCACTCTCGGCGGTGGGCATATCAGCCCACCGAAAAAAGTCACATTTTTCTGCGATTCTCCGCGGGCATCTGTAGAATTTTCTTATGTAACTATGTAGCTAACGTGAAGTTAGTAAGAAATTTTGAAGTTCACAGTAACAGTGCAATCCTCGAGAGGTACTATAAATCCTTGAGCTCATCTTTCTTGAATGTTTTAAAAGACATCTCATTACACATAACACAAGTAAAAATTAATAAAAGTAATTAATTATAGTTTTATACAGTTGTGACGTCTTAGAGAACATAGTATATCAACCAACAAATCTGTCACGACAAAAGAACAGATGACCTTCTAGAAAAATGGTTCTTGGTTGCATTTAACTTACATGATACCAAGCTCGTATGTATCGCATATGCATATCACCAAAAAAGATCATCCAAAAGAACCTCAAAAATCGTAGCACCGAAAAAAGAGAGAGGAACTTAGTTGTCTTTATTAAAATTTCACATGTGACACCAACCAATAGCGACAAACAGACGACTCAAAATAATCCATAAGGTTAAACGTCTTATCATTGATCTTCAAAACCTACCAAAATAAAAACAAAAAAAAATGCAAATGAAAAAAACACTTACAAACAATATAAAAAACTCAAACAATCAATATCAAACACAATGAATGGAAATAAAATCCAAAAAATCAATATCAAATACACAAGGAATGGAAATAAACATGAACTATATAAAATACAAATACAATAAATAGAAAATCTCTTCAATAACTATTTCAATTAATAATATGGTAAATTCTTTAATCATCCTCCTAATATCACATATGTATTTCATTCCATTGACTTTTCCATCTCGCTTGTATCTTCATATCTTTAGTACAGGTTTCGGGAACATCATTTTCCGCATATGACAAAGACTGTCCAAGACAGTACTCAGATGCCTCGGTAGGGACATGCTCATTGTCATCGTCCGCCTTACGGAAGTTGATGTCGTTTGGGAAGGATGTCGTCGAATATAATTATGGAGAGTCATCAGGACAATCACAATCTATATCTGTTTAGAAAATGGGTAAGATGACATATCACAAACTATAACACATCTTATCTTTCAAACACTAAAAGTCCTCTCAATGACACTCCATAATGAGGAATGTCTTTTATTGAACGTTTATTTCCTGCCCCGTGTGAAATTGATGACTCTCTTAAAGTCAAGTATATGGTATCTCATATCATGATAGGTCATAAGATACTCTCACTGCAACGGATATTTAGCATCAACCAAATAGTATTTACCTGATGTGAATTGTATGAATAGTAATGAGGAAAAAATTAATTAGAAGATTAGCTCAGTCTCAAGCAAACTAATGGGTGGATATGATAAGTTATTTCATTATTTCACTTTGCAGCTTTGAAAATTCAATTGTCATATGCACTGCCCTCCCAACTGATCATGACAAAAGTGAAGCACATTTTGAAGTTGCATACCACCATGACAATCTGCATTGGAGACCCACAACAACTGATGAATGCGATCTTCTTATTATTTGGAACACGTGCATCAACATGTGTTTCATCGATTGGTCCTATAAGATTATAGAAAGATAACAAAGTGTAACATAATTAAGATATTTATTTCAAAATTGAATGTAATAATCAGAAGAAATTACTTAAAGTATAGCATATGCAGCACATCGTGTGAAATCTCTTTGGGGGTCTGTTCAAATGTATGATCTCTTGATTTTATGACTTGTGAAGAAAAACTTAAAACTGCATTCAACTCCAATGAGAAGTATCTCTAAATCATTTTAGAGGGTGTTGAAATCACCCCATAGCTTCTCGCATTAATTCATTATGTAATAATATGTAGAAGGTTATTGTCAGCACCTCTCGTGAAGTCGTTTTGGATGAGTCATGAAGTACATGATTAATGTACAGTTCTTCCAACAGATCAGTGAATATCACCCATGTCATTTTGAGCATATTGTTAAATATTGTTGGGTGATCCACAATCAACTCCACAACCCATTTGTCGCTGGTATATGAGGAAGTCATGCAAGTAGGTCACTCTATATACGAGTTATAATATTCGTACATCAAGCATACGACAGCTGCAACTCTTCTTCTACATCTTTCTCTAATTACGTCCATGTATTTTGGCATTGAAGTGACTAATACATAAGAATCAATGAGTTGGCTACAATCATATAAAGTTACTAAAAAAACCAACAAAAGCAAATAATATTGTGGAAGTAAATTGAAAACATAATGAGGAATAAAAAACTCTTAAGTAAAGTGGCATGTACAAAGCAATTTAGATCCAAAGCACAATGAAAAACTATAAACAAATAGAATATCCCACAAAAATGTAGATAAAAAAATTCTCAAATGTCCCAGCTCTCAAAAAGATATCATAGGTATGCCACTCTAAGGTTAACGAGCATCGCGATGAAAAACTTTCTCCAGGTCTAATCTTCAAGCAACTTGATCGAAAACAAATACAACGGTAAGTCATCATAAATCTCTAGAGTTGCATTCAAAATTTACACAACCTGATGGACAAAAGTTGCTTGAGATGAGTTGGGTCATTGCTGCATGAAGCCACAAACTGTGATATTTCCTATTTTCTTTTTAATTTCAACATGTGGACGCTTAGAGCGACTCGTGGACTCAAGTTCATAGAGATTCAGGCTGGGGTCTTCAGTGGAGTCACCTGTTTTGTCAGCTTCCTAATTTTTAGGGATGCCACCAAACCCCTTTTCACTGGGGGCACATGCATTGTTGTCCGTTGACAGGACACCCCCAAACATATGATCTAACTTGTCCTCAAACTCAGGATCCATTCCACTGTATTTAATTTTTTTCACAGCATGCACCACCTACAAATTTATATAACATGTAGTTCAATTTACAAACAAATTAAAAATTGACCAAAATGTGGGACATTTTAAAAATGCTTACTGCAAGTCTCTCTGCCCACCTATTTTTCACTTCTTGAAAGCATCAATCGTTCGTTTTACCAAATTCCACCCTCAAGTTCGTTGATCCTCACTTCAACTCCTTTCAAAATTTTCAAACATTCTTGCATTGATCCTACTTTTTTTAACTGCATTCTATAACACTCTTTTTTTTTTTACTTTCCTTGAATTTTCTAATAATAATTTGTTGTCATTCTTTGTTGAAATAGGTTATGGGCCTATTTCCTAGATCGATCTTCTTAAAAAAAATGTAGCAAAATATTATTTTTGTTTCTTTATTCCACATTGCAGATGAACCTGTCTCATTGGTCTTAATCATTGTATTGCTTGAAAGAAAAAAAATAATTAACAAAAATAGGAATGTCACAATATCGCAAATTAAAAAATATCAGAATGTCACAATATCGTCACCACACCACCAGCACCACATTTACACACCACTAACACCACACTGACACTTAGAACACCTCTAGTACCTCCATCACCACCACCGCCACCATTATGCAAGCAGCTCCACACACCACCACGCAAACACCTCCAACACCACCAACACCTCCGACACCTCCACACACCATATACACCTCCACATACCACCACACATACACCTTCACACGCCACCACACATACACCTCCAACACCAACAACACCTCTGCACACCATCAAACAACAAACTAACACCTCCAACACCTCAAACACCACCACCACAACACATACACCTCCACACATAACCACACATACTCCACACCCCACCTTCACAGACACCTCACACACCACCACATAAACACTCCAACACCACCAACACTTCAACATAACACCAGACACCTCCAACATCACCAACACCTCCAAGAACAACACCACCACCTCCACACATTGCTATCAACATATCATAGACACCTCAAACACCGCCACACAGACTCCACACACCATCAAACACCACACAGACACCACCAACATCTCCAAGGCCAATAACACCACCTCCACACATTCCATCAAAGTATTAATCTGACCACCACCTCCACACATTGTTATCAACAAATCAAGCACATCCTTTCAGCCATTTCTCAAATTCCCACTCAAACATCAAAGGTAAAAACAAAACCACAATCCACTTTTTTTATATACCATGAAGTACACATAAGGCACCTGAAACATTGCTATCAACCCACCAAGCACCCTCCTTCAACCACTTCTCAATTTCTCATTGAAACACCAAAGTTACAAATAAAACCCATTCCATCAGCCACACAATCCCAAAAACATGTTCCAAATTATAAGAGAGTGACATAAATCATAAAATCAAAATTTCCATTTCATACACAAATGAGAAAGCCATAATACACATTTGACCACCACCCCCACGCATTGATATCAACAAATGAAGCACTCTCTTTCATCCATATCTCAAATTCTCACTAAAACACCAAATTTAAAGAAAAATCGCATTTCATCGGCCATATAGGGCACCCAAAATATTGCTATCAACAAACCAACCACCCTCTTTCAACCATTTCTAAAATTGTAACTGAAATACCTCAGGTAAATTTGAAACCACATTCCATCAGCCGCATATTCGTAGAAATAGAAATCCAAGTTATAAAGAGAAAGCTGCAAATCATAAAATCAAAATTTTCTCTTCAAACTGCAAATGAGAAAGCCACAAAATGCATTTGATCGCCACCACCACACATTACTATTAATAAATGAAGCACTCTTTTTCAAACCATATCTCAAATTCCCACTGAAACACCAATGCTAAAAAAAACCCTATTCCATTAGCCATACATGGTACCCAAAACATTGTTATGAATAAATCAACCAATCTCCTTCAACCATTTCTAAAATTCTCGTTGAAAAAAAGCAAATAAAGATGAAAACACATTCCATTAGCCACACATTCACAAAAAATGAAATCAAAATTATAAAGAGAAAGCCGCAAATCGCAAAATCAAAATTGCCTTTTCAAACTGCAAATGAAAAAGCCACAAAATGCAAAGAGAAAGTTATTCCATCTAAAAATTTTGGTTATATTGTGGGAGGATGAAGAGGATAGTAAATTGAAGAGAGATTCAGAGATCAGAGAGAAGAGGGAGAGTAGAGAGCCAACTCATTACCATTATAGAAAGATCAGAGGGAAAAAGGAAACAACAAAGGCAACCCCTTACTACCAGAGAGAGTCGCGAGAGAGGCGTGAGGGAGAGAGGACCGATAGGCAAAAGATCGAGAGAGATGAGGGTAGAAGAATGCGATTGTGATTGATACAGATGAAGGCAGAAGAGACAAACACATGATTAGGATGAAATAAAACATGGGTCGCATGGTTGAAGCCACACCCTGCTTTAACAAAAATTATCATAATGAGCCACTGTGTTGCACTTTCCAAATACATTGGCCTACGGATCCTCGTCACGCTGTGGTGAAGAAGCTGCCCTGAACGAGGCCTTTAGATCTATTTGGGGTAGCTGCAACTTAATAATAAACTGTTGCATAACAGCTACCACAGGTAGCTACTGCAGAGAAGCTGTTGTGGATAAGCTGGTTGTCAGCTTGATTTTTACAGCTTGAAAATAGTTATGCTGCAGTTGTTTTTGAACAAATGATCATTATGCCCTTGTATAATAATGTTGTTTGCGATATAACTATCATACCAATATTTTTGCTACTTTAGAAGCAAAAATACAATGCAAAAAATTACAAAAAAAAATATATACACATCATTTAATAGTGAGTATCATGATTACTAAAATTATGAAAAAGACTATTAAAATAATATTTAATATTATGATAATATTATTTTTAAAACGCACATGACATATGTTGCGAGTTAAGCCGTCCTCCAAAGATACTCTCCATGCTCGATCACTCTCGTCGGTGGAATCTTCCAGCCTATCTGCCCACCAAAAAATTTCATAGCTTTTGTGATTCTCCTTGGGAACCAGTAGAACAGTCTCCCGTAGCTATGTGGCTAACATGAAGTTAGTAGGAACTTTCAAGTCTACAGTAACAGTGCAATCCTCGAGAAGTCCAAAAATCCTCAAGCTCATTTTTCATGAATTCTTTGAAAGGCATCTCATTAGACATAACATAAGTAAAAATTAATAAAAGAAGTAATTATTTATAATTTTGTGTATCTGTGAGGTCTCGGAGAATTCAGTATATCAACCGATAAATCTGTCACCATAAGAAGATAGAAAACCTTATAAAAAAAAGGGTTCTTGATTGTCTTTAACGCATGTAATACCAACCTTTTGTGTGTTACATATGCATATCACCAAAAAAGGTCATTTAGAAGAACCTCAAAAATTATAGCACAAAAAAAAATAGAATAACTTGGTTGTCTTCATTAGGATTTCACATGTGACACCAATCAATAGTGACTAACAGACCTTCCAAAAGAACCCATAAGGTCAAATATCTCATCATAGACCTCCAAAACCCAATAAAAAATAAATGCAAAAAGAAAAGAAAAACTAACGAACATCTTAAAAAACTCAAACAATCAATATTAAATACATAAGGAATGAAAATAAACATGAACTGTATAAAATATAAATACAATAAATAGTGAATCTCTTCAACCATCATTACAATTAATAATATGATTAATACTCAAATCATCCTCATACTATCACATCCATAATTAGTTCCCTTAACTCTGTCATCTGGCCTGCCTTCCCCGTCATTAGTACAGGTCTCAGAAACAACATTTTAAGCCTGTGACAAAGACTATCCAAGACAATAATCATATTCCTCTAAAGGGACATGCTCATGTTCCACGTCTGTCCAACGAAAGTTGTTGTCTAATGGTGAAGAGTCATCATAGAAATCACAATCTATACCTATTTGGGAAATGAATAAGATGGCATCATTTTCAGCCCTTGACAAGAACTGTCCAAGACGATACTCATATGCCTCGGCAGAGACATGCTCATGATCCTCATCCGCCCTACGGAAGTCGATGTCATCGCAGGAAGAATGCCACTGAATATAATTGTGGAGAGCCATCTTAGATCACAATCTGCACCTGTTTAGAGAGTCATTTTCTGCCTGTGATGACATATCGCGAATTATAACATATTTCTTTTTCCAAACACCAAAAGTCTTCTCAATGATACTGCATAAGGAGAAATGTCTTTTATTGAACATTTATTTTCTACCCAGCGTGATGTTGTTGGATCGCTCAAAGTCAGGCATGTGGTAGCTCATATCAGGATAGGTCTCGAGATACCCTTGCTACAATGGATAACGGTGGATCTCAAGATAACAAAACAAAACATCAAAATGAAATGACAACAAAAAAGTAAAAAAAATCATGACAAAAACAAAACATTTAGGGTAGTACCAGATTCTTGGAAATATATTACCCTTAGAACTGAACATTGACGTTTCTTCCCTTGATCTTAACATCTAAAACTTTTTTGAGAATAAATATTAACCTTAATCGGGAGATTTCTTAAGTAGTTTTAACTGCTTAATATGTAATTAACTATAGGAGTGTGCTCTTATAGAAGAATGAGAAACTCAGAATAGTTATTATACTTAAATTTATGATTATCAAATTTTCATATGGCTTTCTTTGTATGAGTATCTCAGAAGTCAAACACTTCAGAGCTCTCTCTACAATGTTTACCATAATGAAGTTCTCCCAACACTTTTTTCTTTTGTCTGTATTTTCTATTTTCATTTAACATTTTCCTCATTCTCCGAGTTTCTTAATACCTTAAGAACATTTGTGTGATCTAAGAGAATAAATTATTTGGAGATTAGGCAATGTAATAGATAAATAGAATGACAACTCCTTGATAACAACGATACCAACAACAAAAGACATTCAATAATCGCGGAGAATTGGTGGCGACGACAGTGACGATCTGACGATGACAAAGTGTAACTCCTATTTCTCAGAGTTGCAATGGAAAACAAAATTACCATAAAAGAAAATGTCAGACTTGGGTTGGAAAAATTAGAAAATCTTAGAGGAAAGTGACAGTCAGCATAACAGTGTTTGGAGCTATACCACACGAAGATGGTGCAACCGCACAATATATTGGTCCGCTCAAGGACTTTCAGAGTCGATGAACTGATTCTCATTCTCAAAAGACCTATTCTTACACACTACAAGATATGAGGTAAATTTGAATCGACTTAGGAGGGACCGTTCATGATTGAAAGAGTCTACTCCGAAGGATCTTACCAATTCGTGAATTGTCAAGGCAAGGCCTATGCTCCTAATAAATGGATGATACTTAAAAAAAATATTATGCATCATTATGTTTCAAAGACAAAGCGTTGTTCTTAGAAGCACCGATGTGATAATTGTCTGTAACTAGGCCCAAAAATAAAAAAAAAATGAACTTATAATAAAAGTTGATGAATTAAATTAAATTCTCACAAAATCCTTCATCTGAATTCTAAATCTTCATAAAAGAATACATTAATTGATAAAAAGAAGTGCAACATAGAAAATGAAAATATATATATAAGTAAAAATGGTGATGATAAGAAAAAAAGTAGAAAACTTTACATAATTAATAACAACCACTTATTGTTCTTATTCAGATTGAAATTTAGCACACTGACTTTTCTCCTATTTTCTACAGGAAAATGTCGAGCAAGAGGCTAATTTTCTCCTTTATAAATGGCAAAAATCTTGCACTAGTCGAGTAGAAAGTGGTAGAGGTAGTCGTCATCGACTTTGACCTGAATTTTGTCGAAATGAAATATGAGGGGCCCTTATTAAAAGTGGTTAGCTAGGAGGAGGTACCCACTCTAGAATCCGTACTCAATTTCAAAAGTAAGAAAAGTGACATGCTTGTAAAAAAAGAGGAAAATAGAGGAAATCAAGAAAGAGATCCAAGCAGATAGTAGCTAAGATGATGGAGCTAGCAAGATAAAGTCGATAGTTTTGATAGCAAGAAGAAAGCTCATCGGCGCTCCCCTGAGGGAGGCTTCAGAGCTTCAACCTACAAGGAGAACATCCCTGACATGCACACAAAAAAGATAAAGTCGATAGTTATAAGTTATATATATATATATATATATAACTTACAAAATAGTGATATTTTTAGGTGATATGGAAGATTTACATGATATATAAGAATTGAGTAGCATGTATGTCAATGCCTACAGCCTATTTCTTTTACTCACATGGCAATGGAGTGGCGTAAAATGTAAATTAGAAGTGTGAAATATAAAAATAATAGGTGGTTGTTGCCATCCACTATTCCACGAAAAATTATTCCACCCACTGCTTCGTCATCTTCACTCCTACTACCAAAGCAGGTTTATATGAACTCGCTCCTCATTATCACAGCAGGGTGCAGAAGCATTCATGGCGATTCCTCAAGCCCTAGCAACCGTGATCCTCTACCTCTCTATTTCTGCGGCCGCGACAACCGCCACCACCGCCGTCGACTTCAACTACCCAGCGATTTTCAATTTCGGAGATTCAAATTCAGATACAGGTGAGGTCACCGCGGGAACTGGTGAGATTCTGGACCCTCCCTATGGACAGAGCTACTTTAAACGCCCATCTGGGAGGTTTTGCGACGGCCGTCTCATCATCGATTTTCTCAGTGAGCCCCAACTTTGTCTTTGTTATTTTAGGAGCTTTCTGCTCTATTTCTGACAGCGCAGGTAGGGGTGGGTTGATTGCAGAACAAACTTATTTTGTTTTCCATTAACCTTTGTTTTTTCCTTTATAATGTCATGTTAGTTGGTGTGAAAGCGGGAGGGAAAGATTATAGTTTATCCTTTAGATGAGAGATTTTTGAGTATCTTCAGGATCTATTCAGTGTTATATAGCTGTTGAGTCTAAATCTGTCTGGTAGATCGTCCCCAAGGAATAGAGCGCTGTACCGAAGGGAGGTGATCTAGAGAGGGAGAGAAATGAGAGAGAGAAAGAGAAGATGAGGACTTTCCCGACCGGGGGAAGTGGGGTATTCCCGTGCTCATGTACCCATTTTATTCTATAAAATTAAAGGTAACAAATAAGGGGTGTTTCAAGAAATGAGGTGACCGACTACTAGATTGCCTCAAGGTCTGTGCAGACAATTTTTAAGAATACAATAGCAATAGTATCTGTATAATGGATAGTGGCATTATGAGTTAAATGCAACACCTTCAATGCTATCATACTTTCAAGATTGAAGAGCTATCTAGAATAACCATCACAGGAGATTTTTGCAAACCTTAAGTATTTAACTTTGATGTTGTCTTAGCTCAGGAAAACTGAACACACATACAGAGTAAAGGAGAGCATATGTTTGCCTGGAAATCCTTTGGAGGCAAAAAAAATGATGAGGTCTCACCAAGTTACAAAAATCCACGATCTTGTTAAAATATATATAATAATGATTATCCTCTAAACAGCTTGAGGAAGTTCAGTGCATGTTGTCTTTTAGACAAAATTACCAAAGTGACTCAGAGTTTACCTAAGTTTGCCCTCCTTAGTGTCGATTGGAAATACAAATAAGTGGGTGATGACAAGGCTAACAATGTCTTTGAACAAAAAAAAAAGTTAGTGTCTCTCGATCACTTTAGCAAGGTTTGCAGGATGTTACTTATTGTGGTCTTAAACGTCGTTTGGCCTTCGATTAGTGGTGCCGAGTGACATTGGGATAGTTGTTATGACAAGCAAGAGATTAGGTGCATAGAGTGTGACAAGCAATGCGATCATTGTCAATAATTTTTCGCGGGCAACATGTTTGATGTTATTATTATGATGAGTAGAATAATCTCAATAACAATATGATTGTTCTTTTTAACAATAATGAACATGATTGGTAATTTGATCATTATCAATAGGTGTATGTGGAAAGTTTATCCTATGCTACTATTATAGCAAGCAAGATGACCATTGATGAGTGCAACTAGCATCATCAATAAACATTGTGAAGGTTAATATTATTGTTAATATGTATCCATAATGGACTCTTCCAATGTTGCCATTGCAACAAGCAAGGTGATCGTTGATGGTAGTGAAAAGAACAGCATGAATGGGGACCATTGATGAACTGCATAACCATTGTTAGTTGGTGTCCTTCTTTGATGCGTCTAATTTTACTACATGACAACAGAGCGATTATTGGTGGAAGTGAAGCAAGCATTTGGGTTGTGAGAAATGTTTTTCGAAGTCCATAATCTCGAGAAAATCTTATCAAATGAACTAAAAAAAAAGAACCTTTATTCGTATGTTTCTTGAGGGCTATTTTGCTCATCTTTTGAAATATTTTTAGTTTTCCCACAATATATGATGCAAATTGAATTCTTCTAAGATTGAAATTTGATTGGATGATAAATGCCCTTGGGCTAGCTTGCTTGATTTGCCTAGATCGTTATGGCTAGCTACAAGCCAACAAAGATGATTTCCTTTGGTGTTTCATTTTGTTGATCTAAGCATAGTAAATCCTAGGTGATGACAATATTGCTAGTATATTGATGGTGATGGATCAAAGTTTCCAAGAGAAAATTGGTAGGAATAATGTCAAGACACTTGTCATTTTATAAACAAATTAAGTATATTTATGAAATGATGTTTGCTCATTTCTATATAGATCAACCTCTCTCTTCTAGAGAAGCTTTTGCATACATGTGTTAAAGAGTGTAATTTAGGTGGCATACTAATTAAAAAAAAACCTTAAAACTTCCAAAGTTGTATAAAAATGAACGCATGCTAATGTTTATGGAGCTTGTTGGCATGTTCCTTGTAGAATGTACTCGAGGCATGGAGACCATCTAAGTGGCTTTTGATAGAGGTGTCAAGGATGTCAATGCCCAAAGTGAAGCTTACACAATTGTGGCATATGGTTTGATGATAAAGACTTAAATCTTCTTTGCTTGGCTTGTTTGTTTGGGACCACTCAATCCCAACTCAAGCAGTCCGAGCATCCATGGATTTTCTTACAATTTTAACAAATATCATTTATTATTTTCTCTTTGTTATTTATTTTTTTGAATCAATATTCATTAACATAAAGTAGTTTATTTTACACATTTTTCCAACAAAAAAGAGCTATTTTGATTTAAATTCAAGTGTCTAATGGAAATCTATTTGATTATCTAACTGATGATTAAAATCTTGGGAGAAAAACTTTTTCTAACATGATTTATTTTTTAGTAGCATTTTCCTAGGGAGTAAATTATCTACACATTGCTCATAAAATAATGTTATGTGCATTATGAAAAATAATAAAATGACCACTTTAAAACATCTAAACAATATATATGTAATGAAAATAACACAAACATCTAAAATATAGTTTACTTATAATAGATTTTAAATTCTTACAATTGTATTTGTTTTTCACTCCGCGCTCCTCTCATTTTCTCATCCTTGCTTCCTCTTCTTCGCTTTTCTTCTCATCATCTTATTGTTTACTACGACTTATTATAATTTATATGTTGTTGGATTATGGAATTGACATGTTCTTGTATTTTGACATTCGTGTGAGTTTTAATATTCTTAGTCATACCAGCTTTATAAACTATTTTATAGTTTTTCTTCTATATGACTAGATATGTACTATAAGTTATACCCTGGGTGTCTTCTCGATAAAACCTCCATTTATTTTTTCCTCCGACGACCTACATCTATAATTCTTGATTTGACATTTGAATTTATCCACTTGAACATTACTTATGGAGTTTTGATTTTATATAAATCTCAATCGCATGTACTGATCTTGCAAAAAACTAATTTGCGTGAGATTTTTAAAATATTAAGTAATGTTCACATTAAAATTTGTAATTACATAAACAACTTTTGATTTATTGTCCATCCATTTCTTGCTCTTCTACCTCCGATTAATGTGCTTTTACAATTCCAATACTAAATAAATTAATACAAAAAATAAGAATAAATAATCTATAAATTTACACGTATTGTTCCCCTCTTATTTCCACAAATGGAATTGAGATGCTTGTATGTAGGAAGGTGTTTGTGCCTCCACAATTAGAAGTGTGGTGTTGTTTGCTCTATTTTCTTTAATTCACATAAACCCCATTTTGCATATAACTCGATTCACATGCCCTCACGATTCACAAGAGTTTTTGTCCACAGTTGTCATGCAAGCTTATCGATCCGCATCACTTGAAGTTTCTCCTGATTTAGGGTCCGTTTGGGGCAGCTTATTTGGTGCGTTGGCGTTTTGAAAACGCACCTAGACTGTTTGGGTAAACTGCATTTTGACAACTCATGCGTTTTGAAAACACTGAAAGCAACGTTTTCACACCGCACCTATCTAGGTGCGATGACAACTTTTTGGCAGCGGTCTGACTTTTCCAAATAAATAAAAAATTATAATAGTCACCGCACCTAGCTTATTAGCAGATTGTTTTTAATCAGCTTATCAGCAGATTATTCAATAAGCTACAGCTGCCCCAAACAAACCCTTAGTCATAATTTTGTGGAAGCTAATAAATGCTCCGCTGCAGTACAAAAATATTGTACTTTTACTTAAAACTATAATTGTTTTTAATAAAAATGAAGAATTTATAACCTTAAGCTTTCAAAAAATACATAAAGAATATTGAACATTGTTATCATGATATCTCTAATCACATATGTTGTTTTGTTGAGATGGGTTAAACTTACATACTTAAACTTAATAAAGTAAAATTAAATAACTATAAAGAAAATCATAACGAATTGTGTTATGGCAATCATTTTCAAGTGTTACAGGTCGCCATCAATCCCAATATATTGTTTATGCTCATGTGTGGAAGATATATTGTTTATGCTCATGTTGTAGGTTGGGCAGGTGTGTTATCATGTGGGCTATGGGAGGGTATCAAGAGGGGTTGGAGTAGCTAGACTATCTTACATACTGTGGTGGGGGCTGTAGCATAGTTGCATGTAAGATGGATGGTAGTATGTATATGATTCTGGATATTGTGGTGATTAAAATAGTGAATGTGAATGCAATGGATTGGCATGTGCTGTTTGTGGAGAGTGGTGGACTTGGACCAAGACTTGATGATATTATATAGGTTTTAGTGTTGTTGATAGTGATGGCTGATATGGAGGCTGTGTTGGTGGTGATTCCAACATGAATCCCCTAATGGCACTTAAAAAATATAAATTCAATGAATTTTTTTTTCTCGATGCTCATCTTCGGCTTCACATGTCATCCGCAATTGTTTTGATTGCCAATAAACATAAGGTTATTAGAATCGAACTAGACATTGGATTTGTGGAAGTACATGCTAAAGGGGTTCCCTTGATATTTGATAGGGAGTTCATTATTTCTAATAATGATATAAGTAATAACATGAATATGTAATATATATATATATATATATTATATATATATATATATATCCTTACATGTCAATATATAACACATACTTCAAATAAGTTAAAAAAATACTACATTACTCTTCTTTAAATTTCTAGTCAAATCGGTTTAGCCACTCCCAACTTAAGGGTTGAATTGTTTGACGATGATTGTTGTTCGTGGTTCACTACAAATTTTATTTTTAGTCTGAACTAATTGGTTTGAGGATTGGTTCAATTATTTGGTTTGATTTGGTCTGATTTACAACCTTGGTAAATTTACGTTACAAGATTATATGATATGTATAAGCGAAAATGAGCATCATAAATGATAAACAACTGTAATTACTGTAAATGATAAACTAGTTTAGAATTTGCAACGAAACTATATATTATTACAAGCTTTACATGCATGTTTTAACTAATTAGTATACTAATTATCACGAAGCATCAAAAGATAACTTGAGAACTAACAAATAAGCTTGCAATTACTGAAATTGTGCCATCAATGTCTCTTGCTATATCTCAATAGTCACCAATCATCCTTAAGTATGCATCAAAATTTAAAATTCAACCACAGAATTACCTAAAATGGAAATGATCAGATGAAAACAAGTGAGCAAAACAAACAAGCAATAATTGGATGTTTTGAAATGAGCAAGGGTTGAGCATAAAAAAAAAAAAAAAAAATTAGTTTAAAGAGTCCATAATTTAACTATTCTTTTACAAGGATATCCTGATTCATCAAACAATTCATTCAAAATATTATTCCTTATTTAACTAATATGACTAATTGTAACGCTTTTGAAGAACTAAATTTGTAAAAATAAATTCACAATCAAACTTTTGGAATGCTTTTGTAGTGCACAAATTTAGTCTGCATCACAAATATGTACTTTTTATTGCGTTTCCATTTAAGGAACTCTTGTTGTTATCTAGTACTCTATCATCCTAAAAAGCATAATGAAATCCATGGATATTAACTTCAACCACTCCACAATATCAAATGCTTCTCTCGTATTAAATGGAAGCTCCTTAGATGGCTTCTTAATACAAATTTGAAGTTGTGTTTTGAGCGGCCACCACTGGAGCTCAGTCAATCATTAAATCCAAGCAAGATGGAATGATCAACAACAAATAGAAAAGGTCAAACATTTTAATCAAGAATGACACAATTGTGCTATACATGAATATTCACTACTATTTACTTAAACTAAAGTAGTTTTGGTTGCAGAGTGATATGAAAATAATTCAGTTGGACTATTATGGCTTGCCTTATTTAACATCCTATTCTAAAGGAAGATAGATCTTCCTAAAGGCATACTATACAAACAAAAGTTTTTGATGTAGATCATAAACAATACCAATAACAATCAAATGACTACATAGATCGATACTTTTCAAATTTATGTTTCATGTTTTAACTATTGATCTAAAAAATATCATCTAATAGAAAACAGTTGTCTAGATATTCTTTGATCTATTAATATAGGAAGAACTAAATAAATTATATGATAATCCATCTTTTCAAAATAATGTTGTTGGGGGAATCGGATACTTCTAATACATCTCTTATATTAGATAACTTCTCCCAAACACTGTAATCTACCTTCCAACTTGATCCATTATATTTCAAAAGGAAATCATGATTCATGAACATACCTAAATTGGAAGGCACTATCAATCTTATGATAGGTAGAATTTATAGAGGTATGCTTACATAAACCAAATGTAGATTGATTAGCAGTGGAAGATCCGAAAGCTTGTGAAAAGCAGTGTTTGGTAAGGGCAACAACTTGATAGTGGCTCATAGGAGATGAGAGGGAGGCCAGCTACAATTAGCGAGTGAAGCAGAACCTGTGAGATTGGCATTGAAACATGCAACCATTTGGGCTAAAGATTGTGGTCTATAGACATCAGTTGCTTAGTGAGCAGTTTGAGGTCAAGCTTGTGCTAGTGGCAAGTCATGCGAGAGGAGTTTGGGATTGTGTGACGGGTTGTTGTATTTCTGAGAAAGAGGTGGCGTGCATTGAGATTGAGGCGGGGCTTTGAATGTGTGAAGCAGAGAAGAAATGAGGGGAAGAGGTTAGAATCAATAGTTTATCCCAGAAGCCTACATATTTTTGGTGACTTTTCTACCAGAAACTGATGGTGCTACAAACACCAAGGGAATTCTAATGACATTTAACATCAACAGAATGTCCGTCAGAAATCCATCAATAAATGTTTGTTTTTCTGTAGTATTTAAGGTGATCTGTCATCTAACTAGCCATCTCAACCAAGCTTATTGATATTATTCAATTTATCTTAGTCATAGAAATAGCATCAAACCGAACACATTTTATTATTAGTAAGATATAGCATCAAACCCAACAAATTTTATTATTAGTGAGATAGAGTAACCTAACAAAACTTTAATCTAGATGCTCTACAGTTTTACATAAATCGAATACAATTTTATGGTATGCTGCAGGAAATTTAGGGTTTCTTGTATGTCTATTGTTAGCATGGCGTGTTGATCTATTGAACTTCTAGAAGACAATTGAGAACAATTTACTTTCCATTAACCTGCAGCATCCTTTGTTCGTAATGCATATAAAGGTTTTTCTCGGATGTTAATGTCTTTTAGAATGCTGCTGAGGTTGAAGGAATGATTTCCATGCATTTGTTTGGAGTAAGACGATATCAAGCTGATGGCTATGGTTTTTTGATGTCTCAATACTCCAACGCTCCAACGCTACTCAAACCCTAGTTTTTTGTTTTTTTGTATTCTTATTTACTATGGAGTTATCGTTTGGTTGTCTTCATCTGATAAATTAATTTTATTATGATGCAGTGAATGCAATGGACCTACCTTTTCCCAATGCCTACTTGGGGGCAGTTGGTGCACCACGTTTCCTTAATGGCTGCAATTTTGCTGCTGCTGGATCTACAATACTTCCTGCAACTGCTACATCAGTCTGTCCATTTTCTTTTGGGATTCAGGTTGCTCAGTTTTTTCACTTCAAACTCCGGGTTACTGAACTGCTAGCCAAAGGTATGTCCTTTTAGAGCCCTTAAAACCTTAAAATCTTTTATGGAATTGATTTTCTTGAAAAGAAGGGTTAATTGTTGATTGGTTGCTTCATCTATAAGTATCTGCTTTCACGACTTTGGTCTTTGATACTATTATTAAATATTTCCTTGTTTGAAATGACTTGAGCGGTCAGTTAAGTCTTTAATATTTTTCTTATACATTTTAGATCCAAAGCATTGAATCAGAATCTGTAGGTTGAATTTCTGCTAAATCTGTTATTTTAATACTATGTTGCATTTATTCTTCGCATTCTTTTATAATAGATTCATTGGGCAATATTGCAAAGAGCTATCAAGTATTGAAAATTGAACTAGGCTTTGAACTGGAAGGAGAGGTTTAAAGTTTGATGGTTCAACCCTGGCTAAATCAAAAGATGTAATAAGTATTAATTTAATTTTAATATGTATTGAGAATTGGACCTTATTTAGACTCCTTTTGGTAAAAATGGAATATTTGTAAAACATTGTAATACCCTATTTAAGACCGTGTTATGATGTACAAAAAAGATTTTTGGAATAATTTGTCTTTTTGGTATCAGAGTCATAGAGTAGTAACCCTAGTAGCTAGCTATTCTTGGTGCTGCTCGAATGAGGGGATTGCGGCTCGCTTGGAAAAAAACTAGTGGATCATGGCTCGCTGGGAAGGCAACTAAGGGATCGTGATAGAGAACCCGTGCGATATAGTCATTGGGAAGGCAACTACGGGATCGTGGTTCGTGGTAGAGAACCTTCACGATACAGTCGTTGGAAAGGCAACTACAGGACCGCGACAGAGAACCCTTGTGACAGTCGCTGGGAAGTCAACTATCGTAATGAGGGGACATCGTCGTGAACCCTCGAGATTCTCGGGTGTTCCCTATGGCTGAACCGATGACACCTTCGGCTGCTGGATTATCGTAGTGTTTCCAGTGGCTCGGTGTAGTGCATGGGTGAAGTGCACATGAAATCAGAGCAGTGGAGAGAACTTTGGTTCTACATGTGTGAGAGGATGATGAAGGCTGCGAAATGTTAAATTGTGGTCAGGAAATGAAGATAGTGCCAGAGATAAAGGTTTGGAGCTTCTGGGGAAGATAAATCCTTAAGGTCTTTGTCGGGCTCATATGCTAGCATCTTGACGGGAATTGTCAGCACGTGCTCCTACATGGGTGAAACAGATCTTCCTCTTGTGGATCTAAAACTTGATGGACCGGCCACATATCTAAGGTGATCAAGTTGGATTGAAACTGTTATAGTAGGGAAAAAACTAGAAGGATATCTGACGGGGATCGAGCCAAGGAGTGACAATGCTGAGAGAGATGAGTGGGTTACTACACATGCCTTGCTTCCATCTGGCTACTCAACTCGATGGTTCCATTGATTGTCTCATCAGTAGATGATATTCGAAAGGTGAGCGACATCTGGGCAAAGCTGAAGAAGAGTTATGATGGAGCTAAGAACAACATGAGGGCATTCCAAATTTAGCGTGAGATAGAGGAAGTGGTTCAAGGTGATAGATAGATTCAGGAGTACATCATAGAACTGAAGTGCTTGTGGGCAGTTCTTGATCACTTCTCATCGATGTCGAGTTGTGGCGATCTGGAGTGCAAGAAAGGAAAAATCTTTACTCAGAATAGGACTGCAGTTTCTGGCCCATCCAAACCTGATCTTTGATCAGAGGAGATTTGTCCTTCTAGCTCAGGTGATTATCCCTTCATTGGATGAGGTCATTGCTGCGATGATACATGAGGAGAATCTCATGAAGCTACACCGAGTCGAGTGGACTTCTGGGTGCACAATCAGTTTTGGCTGCCTCAAGCTCAGGTATGATAGGTGTCCAGGGGGATACTCATAAGTGCTATAATATTGGTGAAGTTGGGCATCTGAGTGTCTTAAGTTACCTAAGGAGAGAGAGAGAGAGAGACAGGTACACTTGGACATGATGGAGGCTGTGTTCATGGTCATGGCGGTCTAAAAGGTGGAAAATGGGGCTACCGAACAAATCTGATGGTAGCAGAGGAGGGAGACACATGTATGGTTTTTACTAATGAGGATCATGAGTGTCTGGAGTTGTTGAAGAAGATGCAAAAAATAATAGGAGATGGGGATGAGGATGCTTCCAACCAGTCATCATCAAAGGTTAATATTGCCACGTATTCTCACTCTGAAAAAGGTATTTGTGATACACATGTGCTTGTCTCTATTTTCATTACAGGATCATCAGCATGGATAGTAAATTCTGGTGGATCTCGACATGTGATAGGTACTTCTAGGGAGTTTTCTTCCTATACTCTCCTAGCGGTACCAGAAAACATCCAAATTGCTGATGGAAAAATGTAGTCTATAGTTGATAAGTGTACAATGAGGGGCATCAGTTATATGAGATTATCCAATGTTTTGCATTCTCGTTTTTTTCTAGTGAACCTTTTATCCACTAATTCCATTATTCTCTAGCTAAAATTTGTTGTTTCTTTTGATAATCCCAACGTGATCTTCCAAGAGAAAGAGACGGGCCAAACAGTTGGGACTGGAACGTGGTATAATGGACTCTGGTACTTGATCGGGAGGAGATGGGCTCAACTTTGACATCCATTGTAGAGAGTGGTGGAGTAGGAGAATCTGGGAAGAGTGTGGAGGATGTGTTGCTGCTACATTACAGACGTATGAGACACTCTTGTTTTAGTTTATTGAGTCGGTTGTATCCTTCGTAATATGAAAAGACATAAACAAAAGCTTGTTTGTGATGCTTGTGAGTTTGACAAGCTTATTAGGAGCTCTTATATCATTTTTGGAAATAGTAGTTCAGGTGTTTTTGACTTGATACATTACAGACGTATGAGACGCTCTTGTTTTAGTTTATTGAGTCGGTTGTATCCTTCGTAATATGAAAAGACATAAACAAAAGCTTGTTTGTGATGCTTGTGAGTTTGACAAGCTTATTAGGAGCTCTTATATCATTTTTGGAAATAGTAGTTCAGGTGTTTTTGACTTGATACATTTTGATGTATGGGAACCTTGTTCTACAACTTTTATTGATTGTTATCAATATTTTGTGACTTTTTGTTGACCATTTTGTGACTTGGTAAAAAAGGGAATATTGAAGAAGTCTAGTGGTATATTTGTAAAATATTGTAATATTCTATTTAAGCTTGTGTTATGAATGTACAGAAGAGGTTTTCAGAATAATTTGTCTTTTATATGATTTAGATGATGTGATGATAAATTGATAATATAATAATGATATTTTTATCACTTAAATATACTATATGTGTCACTATTTTCTTCCTCTTTCCTGTAGATGTGGAGCCTTTGTCTTTCTTTCTGCTTGCAGAACCCTATTTCTTTGGTTCTTTAGGACTTGGAACCTCAGCCGCAACATCTTTCTCCTTTTTCATGGAATTTATGATATTTCACTCTTTAATATTTTGAATATGATTTTCCATTAAAACTTTGGAATTTAATAGTTTAGTTAATTCTCCACTTTTAGGAGTTGTGTGGTTGCAATTAACTCATGTAGGATTTAGTAAATCCTATAAATCTAAATTTAGTAAATCCCGAGGCAATTAAATCCTGAGAATTATTTGGTATGATGAATTTAAATCCAATTAAACCTTGAGAAACTATTTGGCTACTTATTTTAGAATTTAAGTTGGTTAGCTCGGATAAAATTTTAATAATAAATATATCAATGTTAAAACTTATTATATATTTTTTAGCATATTTCAACTTAATTAGACTAATTATATTGCAATGAATTTAGGCTAACATTTCAGATGATATTTAATTAGTCTCTTATTAAACTATTTAAAAAATAAATAAATTCTAGGCAGCCAGATTTAGTTGACTTAATAATTTTTATTAATCAACTTTACCTATTTAGGTTAATTTCTTTTTTTAATTAATGTATTCATATTTAATTTATTTGATATAATATTATCAATTATAATTTATAGTTTTTTTTTTGTCAACTATAATTAAATTTAATAAATTGACATAGCATATATTCTTTTAATCAATTATTAATTAATAAATTATTAAACTAACAAAATATTGAATGTTTGCTAACTTTCAAATCCTAATTAATATATACTATTATTTAACATATTGCTTAAATTTGCTTAATTTAATATTAATAATTTTAATTAATATTTTTTTATTAATTGATCTTAATTAAATTAAAATTAATGTAACTAATATTATAATTTATCATTAATTAATCATTTATTAAAATTATCATCTTTCAACCTCTAAGAATGATGCTTAAAATCCTCTTCGAAGGCAAAAGGAGGAAGAGGGGACCTCTAAAGAAGGCAGTGACTAGACCTACGGCGAGTGAAGCGGTGGAGTTTGTGAGACTTGCGGGTAAGCTAAATCCACCCAGCTCTCAATCAGAATTTGATAGTGAAGGTGAATCCCTCTTAGCTTGTTGGTTGAAAATTTAGTCTTTTAAGCAAGAAGTCTTGGATTCAAAGTCTTGCATATGAGGTGTGTATTTTTATGATTAAATTCCCTCAAATCCCCCCCACTTCAAAAGAAAATAAATAAAAACTAGCCCCTTGATATAAACCTTTTATTTGTAGTCATTTGATCACAATTAGAAAGCAAAAAATTGACAAGATTAGAACCGATGGCTTTGTAAAAGCTTGTCCGGCTCACTGGTTTTATCAGATTTTGGCCAGTTTTGTGCAGAGGTGATTTTGGACCTATAGACTGAACCAGCTAGAGGACTAGTTCATGGTTGAATCGATTGGACTAGCTGGTCTGGTTAAAATCATGATCCTTATGAAGCAAAAATTAGGATAATCTTTAAGTTGCAAGCATGCCATTTGTTTTATCAGTTACCAAAGAGTAATGTTGAAAAGTAAGGACATGATAAACCTTTACATAGAATGACAACTAGATGCTTTTTGGACTATTTCAAGTAAAAAAAAAAGTTTTTTTAAATTTAATGCCAAGGAATGCATAGATTACATGATTGCTAATCAGGATGAATGGTGATACTCTAAAGGGTGGTAATCCTTCAACAACACTACTTTAAATGGGAGGAGCATGGCTTCTCATTAATTTCAGGAAGGATTATATTGAAAAAACCAGCAAGGACGGAAATTGCACAGATTTATTAAGAAGTTATCCATTTATTTAATTTTTGCAATGATTTTAGGCTCCGAGGCAATGATTGATTAAGATTTTCGAAGTAGAAGTGTGCAAAAATAACAGTAGAATGATGCATGTAGTGATAATGCTCTAGTCAATGACGGTATCATGAACAAGCATAAATGTGAATATCAAATAAGTAGTACTAACAAAGAAATTTCATGTGGAGAAATGGCAAAATTCGTTAGAGATTTAAAGGGTGATATTAAGAAGAACCTGCACTAGCTGATGTTGATGTTACAGAAACAGAAAGCAGAGGAAAACCAGGATCATAGCTTGAGAATAATAAAGTAAATCATCCTTGTGAAATCATGAGCGAGGTTCTTTGATGCCTAATATCATATAAAAAAGTTTAAAGATGGGCAGCAAAGTGCAATAGAAGAGAAATTCATCCACTTTTTTTTTTCTTCTTTTTTTTGTTTGGCAGGCCAACTTAAAAGAATAATTTCTTTAAATGCATCATATTATGTTTGCTTTTTGTTAACCAAATAAATATTTGGGTCAGCATGATGATGGAAGTATGATTATTCAACCTGTTTTAGAAGTTTAGAAGATGAAGAATGGCATGACTGGTGGAGTGGTAAACATTTTTCTCGAAGGCAGAAATTGGCTTTTAAAAATATCAACAATGTTTTTTGATTGCCATCTATAACTCTAAACCCTAAAATTTTGAGAAGAATATATTAGTTAATGGATATCCATGAACTTAAAAGCTTAAGCTAATGGTTGAAGCCCAAGGGGCACACTGGTAAATTAATAATTTTTCTCTTGTTTCAGAGTTCTCTAATTTCACTTGCATCTAAACGAAGGATTTCAATTTTGCAATTAAATGGTAGCTGGAGTTAAAAATTAACGTACGGCTTATTTATGTGTAAACTATAATTTTACTAAACAATTTTATGTGCAATAATTCTTTTCCTAGTACTTCAACCTCAGAATTCGCATGGAAACACACCACTGATAGCTTTATTCTGCTATTTCACAGGGAACAAGTTTAAAAAGTACATTCCACCTGCAGATTTCTTCAGTCGAGGGCTTTACATGTTTGACATAGGCCAAAATGACCTTGCTGGTGCTTTTTATTCCAAATCAGAGGACCAACTTATTGCCTCAATTCCAACTATTTTGTTAGAATTTGAGACCGGGGTCAAGGTTTTGTTACTCTGATCCTCACAAAACATGTTTATGTCATCTGGAATCTATTTTTTATTATATTTAGCTTATCAAGCAGTGTGTGATGAAATAATTAATATTAATATATCAGTTCTTAGTTTCTTTTGCTGATTTTTTTTTTAAACTTTGATATTCAGAAACTGTATGATCAAGGAGCAAGAAACTTTTGGATTCACAACACTGGCCCTCTTGGATGCTTAGCCCAAAATGTTGCTCAATTTGGCAAAGATCCTTCAAAACTGGATGAATTTGGATGTGTCAGCTCTCACAATCGTGCTGCCAAGCTCTTCAATTTGCAGCTTCATGCGCTCTGCACCAAGTTACAAGCCCAGTTTGTAAATGCAAGTGTCACTTATATTGACATCTTCACAATCAAATCTGACCTCATTGCAAATTATTCTCGATACGGTAAGCAGTTTTTTTAAATTGTATTTATCTGGTCATACCTTTGAATAAAAAGTTAAAAAATTTGGCTTAGCAATGAATGAAATTCCCTTCTATAGGTGGTCTGATGAGAGGCTGATATACACAAATTTATGATTATTTTTACAGAAAAGTTTTTCATGTTTTCCAGGTGATAATTAAGGCAATCTAACCATGTTCTGGGCTCGGTCTTAAAATAATAATAATAGAATGATCATGCTAAGGCTTTATTTGTCTGTGATTTGTACAATGCTTTGTTTTAGGAAATGCAGGTATACAGAATTTTTTTTTATTAAGAAAAGTGTTCTGTTATGATAATTACTTTTTGTCTACTTAATAAAATGTGAAGCCGTAAAACCTTTGCAAAAACATTATTTTGTGGGCCATTTACATGCAGACTGCACAATTCTTATTTAACACGTAAACTTTCATATTTATATACTTAACATTCAAATCTTTAATGTCACAAAAAAATCATTACTACGAATTAATAAGGTGAAATATACATTTTCAAGCAAAAGTTTATGGCATCAAAGCATTATAAATGTAAATATCACACTTCAGGTGTTTGATATGTAAATACAAAAGAATTGTGATATGTTTGTAAATGTTCCTAATTTTTTATTGTTTTATGATTAGACCTCTTTGTTGGGATCACGATAAATAACAGATTTACGTATTCAATGATGTCAACAACTCCAAAAATTTGGAGGAAAAAAAAATTAGGGAGTCTTTTTCATGTATAGTTTTAAAACACCAAAGTGCTATGTATGTACATATGCTAGTTTAGGTGTGAGATATATAAATACATAAGATTTGTGTACTTCATATGTAAATTTCCCTTCATTCTTTGCTTGCAGTAATAATCGTAGGTGGAAACACTAGTAGACTTGCAAACTGGAACAAACTCATCAAACACCTAACATCTATCTAATAATCTGTCAGGTTTTGAGTATCCAATTACAGCATGCTGCGGATATGGAGGACCTCCATTGAACTATGACAGCCGAATTCGCTGTGGGCAAACTAAGACATTAGATGGGAGCTCGGCTACTGCAAAAGGTTGCAGTGATGCTACTGATTATGTGAACTGGGATGGAATCCATTACACAGATGCAGCAAACCAATTTGTTTCATCACAAATACTCACTGGAAAGTACTCCGATCCACCTTTCTATGATAAGATGCCATTTCTTCTCAAGTTGAAGTTTTAAAAGAATCCTATTCATTACTTCCTAGTGCTGTACAATTACTTTCAATGAATATGTGTGAAATTTTTAAAATCATAATTTGTTATTCCTGAAAGCTGCTTGTTATTTTTTGAATATCTTTTACTGGTTTATCATGATTCTAAAAGAGTGATGCTATTTGGTAAGAAAATGTTTGTTTATTCATTCTTATTCTTGTATTTAATAAGTATCCATACAATTATAATCACATCACTCTTGCATTTAGATTGAACAAGCTGGTTTTGTGTTTAGCTGTTGTTGAAACAAGTATGACATCAAAAAAAAATTCTTTTCTTAAGAAAATTTTCTGACAGTGTGATTGGGTTCTTTTTTTAGTCATAACCAATTTTATAGCCAAATCATTATCATTAAAGTGACTAAAAAGAAAAGATTTGGTGACAGTTATTCCTTTAAAGATTTATTTGGGACAGTTTTCACCATTTTTTTTCTGTTTGGAACACTGCCTCACTCTTATTTGGCATGTTTTTCAGAAAATTTTATGGTAAAAAGCTAATTTTCTAAAATGCTAGATTTGACAAATTTCATCAATTTTCTAAAACAGAATTTTTATATTGTAAACCAAAACAAACAAACTAAGATATATTGGAAACAAGCTAGTAAGTTTCCAACACTGCTGCAAGCACATGCTTATTAAATTCTTGATATAAAATCTCCTATTTCCTAGAAACATAAGCATAGTACTGTGCCATTGGAACTACAAAAGCAATAACCAATAAGCCGCCAACCACCAGGCTGAATTGCCCTCTCTTCTCTTCAGTCTCTTCCTTGCTCTTAAAGTTGGATTCACGCTTATTATCTTTGAATTTAGGACCACCCGGATCTGGCAGGCCATCAATGGCAGCAACCAAACGATTAGCACTGCTAATCATGGCTTCATTGTACTTCTCATCTGTTGCAAGAACTGAAGGAGAAGATGAAAGAAAATCACGTACTGTCGATTATTTAATCGTAAGTAGAAATGCAATCACTCTTCTTTTTCTTTATAATACATTTTTTGAATGATAAAAAAATACTTTGGCAACCACAAAAATTATTTCGAAAATTTACATGCATGCCACTCAATTCATATATACTTACATATCTAATCTAAAGTTCAATTTTTACATATATATATATCACCTTACCAATGCATGAAACGTCTAATCTAAAGTTCAATTTTTACATATATATATATATATATATCACCTTACCAATGCATGAAACGGTGTATTTCACTTTTTAAAAGTTAAAATGTTTGTATTTTTGATGTGATGTGAAAGATTTGGGTGGTCTAAAATTTAAAGTAAAGTTTATATGTTAGATATGTAAATACATAGGAATTAGTGGTATGCATGTGGTGGATGAACAATGCTTTGATCAGCCACATATAGTTTCATTTTCCCCGCTTCTTCCAAGCATAGACATATAGTTTCATTTTCACGAGTGTATTATTCTCCTAATCATTTCTTTTAAAATTAAGAAGTTCAAGGGTAAATAATAATAATAATAATAATAGGAAGTTGCTCGACAAGGCGATGAATAGATTTTGAGTGAGTGATCCCATAATATGGAGAAAATTTTGGCGTATGTTGTCCGTACGTGAGCTACGACGGACGACGGATGCGATACACCGTCGAGGTATTTTTTTTTTCTGTTTTTTTTGCCGTGTATCGCATGTAGCTCACAATGGATGACATACTAAAAATTTTTTCCATAATATGAGTGAATGAGTTCCAATAATTTTAGTTACTCGTCATTTATCTCATGCAACTTTCCTTATCAGTAATTTTTTTTTTTATTTTTAAACTCTTTCAATTCGATCTCTAGTTTCTAAGCTACATCAGGTTATAAAATCAGCATGACTTTCGCCAAATACATGCTCAAGCATTTCCATAAGAATAGATCGACCAGAATGGGTGAGGCACTTCACCAAATATCAAACTCTAAGACAAGATTCTTCAATTAAGTAAAGGGTGATGAAGAATTTATTAAATACTAATTATATTTTCAAATAATCACTTAACTACCCCCTAACACTTTATTTCATCTTCTTCACCTTACAGCTCATGTTAAGACTATAAAAGGCTTATATATGAAGAGATTTGGGGAGCAGGGTAGTCTTTTTGAGATTCTTATCATTGCTGAGTGATTACCAATAAGATGAGTGAAACCCCACATGTTTAGGTGAATGAATTCTCACTTCTTTCAGGTTACTTAGCAATGGAATTACTTGATCAATCTTTTTCAACTCAACTTAGGACTAAATCATAATTTATCCATTAGAAACTCATTGTTTTCCTTTTTCCGTTTGTAATTTCAGCTTTATTAAACTGAACTTATAAACCGGATATGTATTCCCTAAATTCTCTCATGAAATAGCAGAAAACATTCAGCATTAGAATAATGAATTCCTTATGAAAAATAGCTAGAAAGTTTATCTTCCTTCTGAACAAAACTAGATACTGAAACCTTGCATGTTAAAAAAATTCCCACACATTCTGATTTCGCTCATGCTTAAAACTATTAAGAGGTAGGAGTGTGTATTAATTGGTTTAAACTGAAAAATTGAACCAAATCGATTATGGTTAGTTTAGAATTAAAGTTGATTTGGATTTTTTATTTGGTTTGATTTCAGTAAAAATTTTTTTAAAAAATGTGGTTTAAACCAAAAACTAAAAAGTAAAATTCAATGATCATATATATATTCAAATATTGATTAAACTGAACCGAACGGAATAAACCAAACTTCAATATGATTCAATTTGGTTGGGTTCTGCTTATGATTCAATTGGTTTGATTATACCTGCCATTTAGTTTTGATTCAACAGTTTAATAAATCCATCAACTAATCCAATCAAATCGACCAATTGCACACCTCTACAAAGAGGAACTAAGACCTTTCTTTAGCCTTCAAGATGTCTGTGACTTTGGCAAGCTATGCCTTCATGTCAATGACGAGTGATCGTAGAAACCTCAAATAGTATGTACACACGAAAATAAAAAATGAGCAGCTACGTAAAGACTCTATAAAGTATGCCAAACAGGTAGGCTAATAAGAGAGGTTTTGAGCAAGGTATGATATAACTATATCAAGGTATTTAGAAGACTATCGGATTTTAAGTTGGAAAGTTCAAAAACTCAAAAAAAATTTGATTGTTTGCTCTACGATTGGGTCGGTTTTACTCAAGTTAAGATTTGAACAATAGTGAATTTAGTGGTATTTACATACATAGCACTCAAAAGAAAAGATAATCATATAGCCTTCCTGAGATGTCTAATGAGCTGAGCAAAAACTCTGCTTGATATTATGAAAAAGAAAAAGATTCAGTTGATTTCTGACCAGGAAGGTTCTCTGACACAATGGCATCGAGTACTTTTTCTCCCACGGCTTCAATAAAACCTGGTCCGCCTGTTATCGCCCCTTCTTTCTGTGTGGTGACAAGCACAACTATTCCCTTGTTGTTCCCTTCTTCAACAGTGGGATACCATTTCTCTAACACTTGGTCTGCATACTCAAAAGCATCTGCTTTGCTCTGCAACCAAATTCATAGCAATGAATATATATTTGCATATATTTACAAGAAAAAAGTTTACATCTAGACTCCGGATGTCCGGACAACGGCGGGGATACAGCGGAGGAGGGGAGGAATTGGACCGCGGGGATGCAGCGGACCTCGCTGCATCCAGGCCGTTGTCCAGACATCCGGAGTCCGGATTCTCTATTTACAAAGGTTTTCACTAGAATGGTAAAAACAAAAAGCCTCAGTTACCATTTTTTGTCGGTTGGACAGACAATCAAACGGCTCTCTAGGAAATAAAGTTTGACGTTTGCAGTTTGTGAAACCTACCCCTAATTTGTAGGTAATCTAAGGGATCATGACAAAGTGAAGACGTGATACAGTTGAATAAAGTGGTAAACACAAATTGTTAGATATGTATCATACAAACAGCATGGAAGTCTCTCAGAACGGCTGAACCCTAAACAAATACTAAAAAACTCCTATTAAAAACTCCAAATAACCGGTTTGCGCAAAGGATCAAACACCTGACCGGCACAAGAGGACCTTAAGGATTCTCCTCATACCGTGAGCTTGCGAACGGTAATGAAATTGACGTGCAGGTTCTTCCTCGACTCCAAGTCGGCAAAGATGCGCTTGAGATCAGTCTTGGTCACCCGGCTGAGCACTCCGGCGTCGTCCACCACGTACGAATCCGTCGGCGGCCCCTCATTCAGCACGTCGAATTCCGAAGCCATCGCAAGGCTTGCAGCGGTCGGTAGAGGGCAGAAATTGATCGCAACGGAAATAGCTGCTGCAGCCAAGCTATGATGCAGGAAGGAAAGCCAGCTGTTGTTGTTGGGTGAGGAAAGAGATGAATAGGTAGATTGGATTGGTTTTTTGAGGACGGAGGAGACGATGGGCTTGTTGAGGCATGGGAGAGAAGGGGATTTGGAGAAGACTGATTTGAGATTCAGTATTGGATTGGAAGAACAGGAGAAGAGAATGGTTTCCATTGGGGAGGGGGTGGAGGAAGAAGAGAGTGTGGAGGGAAGCAGGTTGGAGAATGAGAGCCATTTCGGATTGTTTTTTTTTTTTCCCCTCTACGGTTGTGATTCAGAATTTGGGATTTCGATTGGTTGGCTGGGGTTTCGTTGGATAAGGTGGGGAACGATTCGGTGCCGCTCCAGGGGAACGGGATGAAGCGGCATTTACATATATATACCAGTCAATTTATTTATTTACATATGTAATATTACCTTTTAAAAAGGGAAATGCATCTTTTCATGCATTGGTAAGGTGATATATATATGTAAATATTGAAGTTTAGGATTTAGATATTTAAATTGTAGAATCTGAATTTGTCATGCGAATCACTCTAGAAGTATAGAAAAGTAGAGAGAGAAATAGAGAAAACACACAATGAACAGTTGAATGAGGGGATTGCATAATCATTTAGTTCTGAAATGATCTTCAATTTATAGATAAATGAGATATAACATATGAAGGTACATTTATACCTCTAATTAAGTAAGAATTGTACACGTTATTTAAGTATTTTAGTTCTGAAATGATCTTCAATTTATAGATAAATGGGATATAACATATGAAGGTACATTTATACCTCTAGTTAAGTAAGAATTGTACACGTTATTTAAGTATATTACTTTTTTAGGCCAAGGGCTTTGCTGTTCTCTGGCTCGGCTGGCTGGATTGAATTGGGCTTCAGTAGTTTTGTCCGTTGGTTGGACTCATTGTTGTCGTCGATGAATGGAACTGTAACGCTGTCAGTTGGCTTGTTGGCCACGAATCAATGAGATCTAAATGACTGAATTTTGTCAATTGATAGGCACAGTCTAGTCATCGACCCTCGATTTACCAAGGAGCTTCTATCGGTAAGATAAAGCTAAGCCGTCCAGCAGAGGATAAATTACCGTAACCCGATGAGTACCTTTCTATAAGATAATGAGATTCTAGTGGGATGGTTGAGTCGTGTTGTGGACTACTGTTGGAATTCGAGACGACGACTGAATGATCTTGGTATGAGAGTCTTGGGGATTAGTTTTTCCCTCGGATTGGCTTCATCTTAATGATAGGTTTGAACGACTCTTTGCATGTCGTCTGAATGAGCCACTCGGTATGATAGTATTTTGATCGCTCTAGTGATTCATGATCATGGGTACATTATGTTCAACCATATATCGAGTTTGTTGATTCGCCCGCCTTTTGGTGAGCCCTCTTAAGCTTATGACATTTTCTCTTGGACCGTTAGATATTCTCAATATTCATGCTCCTGTAATTTTTATATACATAAATACTAATAATTAAGTGCAAATCTTTCAAATAAATAAATAACGGATGATAAATGATTATATTAATAAAACGGGAAGAACTTAGATTTGCCTTAAAAAAAGTTTGTCATCAAGGAATCAAATAATTATAGTTAATAAAAAATGACAATTTTTTTAAAAATCAATCATGTTAAAAAATGATATAATAAAATTGTTTTTTTTTTAAATTCGTTAACGTTGAAATCGACTTCACGGAAATAGCGACTATGATGATTAATGCTGTCAAAACGGTTTGTTATTCGTGAACAACTCATGTTTGGCTTGTTAAGAAGCTCGTGTTCAATTCGTTCGCTAAGTTAACCAGCCGAACACAAATACTTTTTTTGTGCTCGATAAAGAAATGAGCCGACTACTCATCAATTATATATATATATTGATGAGTAGTATTTTTTTAAATAACTTAATTAACCACAGGACTACAAAAATTTATAATCAATTAAAATTATTAATTAAAAAAATAGAATTAAAATATATTAAATCATATTTAAGTGATGTTTTAATATAACCAATAAGATTTAAACCTTACCCCAACCCTTAACATCCTACAACTGCGTGATTATGGTTTTCAAAACTACTATTTATTCACGAACAGCTCGTGTTCGGCTCACTAAGCAAACGAGCCGAACACGAACACACTTTTTGTCTTCGAAATATAAACGAGTCGAACACGAACACATTTTTTTGTCGGTCATCATTGCTGGTCAGTAATACCCCATTCTCTTAATTTTCATCTTCATTTTCGGACTTGACTGGTGAGCACCACACCGTCTTGTATGTACTTCCTTGACGATCACTTATGCTTCTGCTCTGTTCAAGCATCTCAGCTACATCTGGTAGAATGATCTTTTGTACAAGATAGTGCACTTTTCCTTATCTGGTGCCATGCTGATTTGTCTTCTGATAGTTTTTCGTCTGCATGTATTCAAAAAATGGTTGGCACCAATCCTCAGTATCATCGACTACTGCCGCTACTGTCTCTTCATTTCCCAATTTATGCGGGGTATCCATGTTGATTTGAGATAGCATTAGACGTCTTTGTATTGTGATATGGATGGAATCCTTCCGCAAGTACGCAAATTCTTTAGCGAGCTTGGCTAAAGCATCTCGGTACAACGTCACGTTTGGGATTCGTTTCAATAACTTCATCATGTAGCGGAAGTACTGCTGTAGCTTCAACTTCAAAACCTTGTATTGTCCGACCACTTGTTAAGTGATGAGTTGATGGTCGTCGTAGATTTTGGTGTCTGTTATCTCCATTAATATCGCCAACTCTAACCCTGTTATTAGAGCTTCATATTTAGCTTCATTATTCAACCACGGCTCTGTTAGGTGATATAAATACTTTAACATCCCTCGATCTAGCGTAATGAAGATCAAGCCAATTCCTGCCCTGTCGAGTATTATCGTCCGTGACTCCTTATCTTTACACGCTGACGAAGCTCCGTCAAAGTACATTTCCCATTGTTGAGCACAAGGATGTTCCTTCACAAGGATGTCCCTTGTTCATCACTTGTTTGTCTAACGTATCGTAGTTGAGGGGGGAGTTAGCTGGCAACAGGTGTGCTGCGAGGAAATCAGCTAAGATCTGTCCCTTGACGACTCGAAGAGGCATGAAGGTTATATCAAATTGCAATAAAATCATCTACCACCTTGCTAACCTTTCAAAAAGTGTCGGTCGAGTCATCAAGTATCACAATGGATTAAACTTCAAGATAAGGTTGATCTTATGAGAAAGCATGTAGTGTCTGAGCTTTTAGGCGGTGAAGATTAAAGCTAGGCAATGTTTCACAATGGGAGGATACTTTACCTCCATCGGTATTATGATGAATAAGTATTAGAGAGTGTTTTCCTTACCCTCGTCATTAAACCGAGCTAACAGGGCTCTAAGAGTAGGGCTTTCAAAAAAGCTAGTTGAACAGTTTGTGTTCGGCTCGTCAGGAAATTTGTGTTCGATTCGTTCGATAAGTAAACAAGATGAACACAAATAATTTTTTTTGTTCGGTTGATAAACGAACCAAACACGAACATTCATTTGTTCGATCATGTTCGAATTGTTAGTGTTCAAAATGTAAAATAGTTTAAATAATTATATATAAAAAATTTATCATATATTAAAAATAATTATATACTTTAAAAAGTTATCATAGTTAAGAAAATTAAATCTTATAAATTATAATATGATCTTCAAGTTCGCCTCTTAGCTGATATTAAATCCTATAATTTCATATTTATCTTCAGGTTTGTCACTTAGCTTAAATTTTCTTATATTCCTTTTAGATTTATTTAGTTTCTTTGCGTGAGACTTAGTTTTTGAAGTTTTTGAGAGTGAAATCTCGCATATTGCCTCTATATCAGATTTTCTTATAGATGAGATATGATATTATGATTTTTTTGTGAGCTATGCTTCAGCTATTGTGTCGTGTTGTGATTCATATAGATTTAAACACTAATTTCATATAGGTTTAAGCTTTTGAAAAATTTTAAATAATTTGAACACTACAAATAACTTTGTAAGATTTTGAATAATTCAAACAATTCAAAAAACTCGAACAATTTGAACATTTCAAACATTTCAAACATATTTCAAACATATCAAACCGAACACGAACAGTAACTTCACGAACAATTTTGAAAATGAGTCTATTTCAAACACATTTAATTTTAAACGAACCGAACACGAACACAAGCTTTTTGTGTTTGTGTTCGGTTCGTTTACACACTTATCTGAGGGAGTCGTAGAAAGTATAAAAGGTTTACCTAAGACTGGGGCTTCTAATACATGAGGTGTCATTAAGTATTGCTTAATACTTTTGAAGGTTTGTTGACATATTTAGTCCCAACTAAACTTGACATCCTTTTTAGTCAATGCAGAAAAGGGTTGACACAGTCTTGACATATTAGATATGTAGCGTCTTAAATATGTTAATTTTTCTTGAAAAGACCACAATTGTTTCAAGGTTTTGGGGGGCAGCATTTCTAAAATAGCTTTGATTTTCTCTAGATCGATTTCAATTCCACGATGACGAACAACAAATCCTAAAAATTTCTCATAGGTGACACTGAATGCGCACATTAAAGGATTCAATTTAAGATTAAATTATCATAAATGTTCAAATCATACATTTGGTTTTCGCTTTGTTTACTTTTGATGAACAAATCATCCAGATAACATTCAATCTGATTATGAATGAGATCATAAAAAATTCTCACCATGGCTCTCAGATACGTTGTTTCGACATTCTTTAATCCAAACGGTATCACTGTGTAGTTGTGTATTCCAATTGATATTATGAAAGTCATAAGCGTTGCATCTTCTGGTGCCATATTGATTTGATTGTACCCAGATGATCCATCTATAAATGAGAATATTGCATGAGGTGACACAATGTCAACAATTAATTATGGGATTAGTAATTGGATCTCATCCTTCAGGCAAGCTTTGTTCAAACCTTTGAAATCAACGTAGACTCAAATCTGTTCGTTCTTCTTTCTAATGGGTGTTGCGTTAGCTAACCATGTTGGGCATTTTTCTTCTCTTATAAAGTTAGCATCTATCAACTTCTTGATATCGACAGTGATTTGTCACTTGATCTCGAGATGCATTCTCCTGGGAGCTTGTTTGACTGGGGTTGTAATCGAGTATACACCAAGTCTGTAAATTGCAATCTCTGGTGCTAAACTAGGCATCTCATCGTAGCTCCAAGAGAAGAAGTCTCTGAATTTTGACAATAATTTGATCAATTCTGCAGACTCCTCATCACTTAATAGAGAACTTATAAGAGTGGATTTGGGGTCATTTTTAGTCAATAGATTGATCTCCTT